CTCTGACGAAGGCGAAGAAGCCGAAACGTAAGCCTTGTATAAAAGTTTAATCTTGAAAGGCTTGAAGAATCATTCCTACTGCATTCTACTCGATATTAGATTTTATGGAAGCACAACTATAGTATGTATATTGATGAAACTCCTTAGACTATAATGCTGTCTCGTAATAGAAAATGCGAGTGAATATATAAAGAAGCGTAAGTTCGAACCACAGTAGACGTATTGCTGTAGAATTTTTTCAAGAACGTTGATGTTTTCCGACATGCCTTGCGATTTGCAAACGCGTTTACTCGAGAAGCAAACCGACTCAATTGCTCGCTGCTCCTCTCCTCCTCTATCTCTTTAGCTAGGATTCGTTTTTTTTTGGTGAGTAGGAAGTGTTTGAAAGGTAAACGAGAAATTCGGAATTGGATAAATTCCACTCATTACTCCCTAGGCCCAGGCTCGGAGCCATCGCGCTTGAGAGAGCACCAAAAGAGTAGAGCGCGCCGCCGCGCACCGGATCTCTTCAGAACCCTCTCTCTGAGCATCTTCCTTTCCGCCTCCTGATTGAGACCATCCAAACACTAGGGCCCATAGAGGATCAACCAGAAATCAGTAGAGGACATGTCCTTTCACTTTATTTAGGGTTGGCCTTTTTATCTAAGACATTACGCACTTCAAGACTCCGTCACTGACAATCTCGATGCTTCACACAACGCCACTGAAAAAGTATCAGAATAAACTAATCGTTATTAATCTGAGTGCCTCCAATGTGTTGAGATGGCAACACCAAGACACCTCCAAAGAGTCATGAGGGTAAAAATATGAAGTTTTTATCTCACATGCTCTGTGCCTGTCTCAGCTCCAAGCACGATCAAAGATGGCTGTAATCCTATGGGTTTCGCACATTTCCCTCAATTGACCATGCACCGTATTTACCGGTGATGTGGACTTAGAACAGTGCTCTAACAAATCCGCAAGCTGCAGCAGCTTAGCCTAATCATTTCGGGAATTCTGACAGCAAAAACCTCCTTCACATTTGTTTCTTGCCCGTAATACAGGGTAGAGCTTCTATATATTCCCCCTACATGTTTTGGAGAGTCAGTGGGCTAACTGACAAGAAGCTTTTTTAGAAAATAATGAAAGAAAAGTTCAATGGCTCTAAATCGCGTAAGGTCACGGTGGAAACACATAGTAAAGAGCCATTTATTACAATTTCATGGGCCTTTTACCCTATAACTATGATGATAACGGTTCAGTCATTGAAGCGAACTGAAGTTGAAGGAATTACGCTAAGATTGGGTGGATTCATGGTGGATGAGAATGCTTAATATTTTCTCAGTGGCGGAAACCGAAGAAAACCGTCGACTACGCGCGAAATGGGACTCCCTTCCTTGCCCGATGGCTTCACATGATGGTCGAGTTAGCAACAACTAATAATAAATGGTCGTTGCATAAGATGAACCATAGCTAACATTATACCAGCAAAGATCATGCCTTGATTGATAACGCATTCCATGAGAAAGTTGTAGTATATGCGCTCGAAGTGGAACATCTTATCCAAAAGATCAGAAGTGATGCTGCTTGCAACACACTGATGGGCGGAGCACAGGCGGCCGAGGCGGAGCCCAGAAAGGATTGACGGGCCCAGTGCACTAAACTGTCGCGCCTTTAGCCACGAAAACTCCACACCTTGCGTCCTTTTTTCGGCCCTAACTACTGCTTTTTCTTGTACATGTAGCTCCATGATTGCGCTTTATCGTAATTCCTCGCTTTAAACCATGATGTTATTTAAAGTACCTGTTCTCGCAGTACAACCCTTT